GCTTTTGGACAGTCCCACAGAAGTCAGTGTCCTAATTATATCCTATTAGATTGAACTGTTAGCAGCGTAACGTTGGTGATGATATTAACATTGATTCTTTGGTTAAGGGTTGTCAGCTGTTGTTTTTTTTTTTTTTTTTTTTTTTTTTTCCTCTGCTGTGAGGTTACTAACTTTCCTTTTCCAATGAAACACTAAGTCCAGTCTAAATTCTAAGGGAGAATTAGGTTTTAACTTCATTGACAGAGAATATCAAATAATCAATGGAAATGTTGAAACTGGTACAACCACTAGAGTAATTAATGAGCATTTTTGAGGAGACATTTTGAGGCTATGCAAATGTCTTCTCCTAAAATTTTATTCACTGAAGTTAGCATTCAAGGACTCTGTGGTGGTTTGAATGTGTTCTCCACAGGCTCCAACTATTGGTACATTTTGTCTCCAGTTGATGGTGATGTTTTTCAAGGTTTTAGGAGGTGTGGCCTGACTCGAGGAAACATGTCATTGGGGGTGGACTTTGAGACTTCTTTAGCCTTGCCAGATTGTTCTCTGCTTCCTGCGACTGCATGAACACGTGTCGCTTGGCTTTCTGCTCTGGCTACTTCTGCTGTCATGCCTCCCCTATCAATCAGGGACTTCAATCCCTCAGGGTGTCTAATCACAGCAACAGAAAAATAACTCCCACCTTTGCCTCTTTGTTTCCACTGCTGTTACCAAGAAGTAAGAGGTCATCCTGAATTCTGATACGTGAATGAGACTGTTCCTAATGGGAGGGGGTAGAACTCCCCCTTCGTCCTGGGTTCTAATGACTGTGCTTATCATGCATTTGGCCCTTGGTGGTCCTTCATATCTGAAGTCCTTCAACTGGGGGAGATCTTTAAAAAATGATTTTCTTGTATGTTTTTTTCCTTCCCCACCTTTTAGAACTCTTAATAGACCTCAAGTACTGATCCTCTAATGCTGAACTGATCCAGGTAGTCCAATACTCAAATAGTTTTTAAAAAAATTTCCATTTCTTTGACATCTACTTTATGGAATATTTTTCCTGTCATCCAGCTCTTCTGGTGATTGCTTAATTTCAGGTATTAATCTCTGTAATTTCTAGCATCTTATTTTTTAAGATTCTCTGAATATTTTTTATAATACCTGTTTCTTTAATTCATTGATCTTTAATTTCTCTTGAGGATGTTACACGATTTCTTTTAAAATTAAATTTCTTTTACATTTGTTTTTTATTGTATGTATATGAGTATTTACCCTGCATGTAAGTGCACTCACGTGTGAAATGCTCAGGGAGACCAGAAGAGTGTGTTGGATTCCCTGGAACTGCAGTTACAGATAGTTTGTTAGCTATCAGGTGGGTTCGGGGAACCAAACCCAGGTCCTCGGCCAGAACAGCAGAGGCTCTTAACTGCCGAGCCATCTTTCCAGCCCTGAGGATGTTATATAATTTCCTTTTATGTTTTCTAAAAATTGGCTCTCCTTGCCTTGTGTCCACTGTTCATGTTGGTAAATTTTCTGACAGTTTGTAATTATGGTGACCTGCTCATGTGCAGGCAGCTGGGAGTTAGGAATGTGATGGGACATATTGGTTATGAGCCTCATTGCAGAATAGTCGGACTGGAGTATTTCTCTGGAGGATACACACATTCCCTGGAGACCCCCCCTTTTTCTTTTGTCTTGCCTGTATCATGAAGCCCAAGCTGCCATCATTGTGGGAATGGGTTTCAGGAAGAGGGTGAGAGGGGCTCAGCATGTAGCATTTATTATGCTCATTAACTCTGTCCAGGACACACCACTGCCCAGGACTTTGCCTTCTGTTCCCCAGGCCAGAGTCATGCATTTTACTCTTCCAGAGAATGAACCTCTAGGCTTTTGTCAAGTGAAGGAGTGGAAAACACCTAGCATTCAGTAGCCAAGCATGAGATGGGTATCTGTTTCTTGAATGGACTTTCTATGAGTTCTTATTAATTTTCTCTTCATCCTCTTCCAAAGGTATCTGGAGTCTGCTATGCTCTGCCGGTCAGGACCATAAATGAAGGGGCCTCCCAGCTCACATTGTACACTGGGTTGAGTTCTGTTTACCTGCTCTCTAATCCCCAGTGGACATTCCTGTTGGCCTCTGGTCTCACACTCACCTTCTAGGAGCAGTCTTCTCATTTTCATTTAGCATCATTTCATTTCATCTCAGGTGCTGGCATTAGCTCTGTTCACTCTGCTGCCCTGGCTGGCCCTCCTTCCCTTCCTCTCTTAGAGACTTATTTGAGGACCAAATCTTGAATGGGGCTGCTGTATGAGGTTGGACTTTAACTTGGAAAGCAAAGAGCACAAATGTTGTAAAGAAATGATTTCCTTTCATTTCAGTGATTATGACTCCAATTTCTAGCATGTAGTATTTTTCTTGTAGTTGATTCTTTTTTTTTTCTTCATTGATACTGTATCTCTCAAGATTTTTTAAAAATTCTTTTTTAATTCTTTAATTTTTAAAGTTTTCTAAAATTTTCTTTTCCTCATTTCATGTCTGTTTTTCACACTGACCACTTTTCTGAGATGTTTTGTACTAGAGTGTTCTGAAACTTCTGAGTGTGTGTTGGATAAGCTTGTCCTCCGAGTAGCAAGCAATGGATAGATGCTTTCTTCTCTAGTTTCTCGCTGGCTTCAAACTAATTGGAGTACAAGACTCTCCGTAGGAGAGGGGCAGAGGGAGACAGTCACCCCTTCTACCCAATCAGTCAGCCCTAACTGCATGAGGGGGAGGGTCTAAGGATAGGAACAGGGGAAGCCAGAGAGAGAGAAGATGCTTCACCAACTTGGACCAGCCACAGCAGCCAAAATGTAGGGAAAATGTAGGGAAAAAAGCCCGAGGGTGCCCAGGCCCCTCACTGCCATCACATGCTCTGTTAGCAAGCCTAGTAGGTGCTTTTGTTCCCTGAACTGTACTTTGGAATAATACTGTCTCAGTTTGTTGTAAGGACGGTGGGAGGAGGCAGCCACACTGGGAGCCTGGAAGCCACATATGCACCTTCCAGCAGTAAATTTAACTTAGAGTGTTACTTTCAGAATGTTCCAGAATGACACTGACTGGACAGCCTTCTTGGGGCTAATCTTCTCCGTTGAATGTAATAGCTATTCATCAGGATAAGAGTTAATTTATCCAGTTCTCATAATGAGCCCTATCAAATAGCCACCTGCAGTGGGCCAGGGGTGGGGTCATGAGACCAGGGAAGTAAAGCAGGCAGGAGCTTGAACTGAGCTGGTAGGGGCAGAGTCCCATGAAAGGGTTTGAAAGCTGAGAGGTACTGTGGCAATTAGGTGTCATTATTATTATGTTATAGAAATGTCCTAGTATGGGCGGGTCCCTGTCTCTCGGCGTTGCTGAGGCTCTCCGTGGCTACTGGATGCTGGCGACTCTGTGGGTCGCTGCACTTCCAGGCGAGTTCCGTTCCAAGCTACCGGGCACTCCCTTTGTGTTTCGCGATCCGTTGGCCGCCGGGTCACGAGGGGAGGTGCAAGAACGGCGAAAGCAGGATCTTCGCGAGTGAATGTTTACGAAGGGACAGCCCCCTATGGGGAGACTGAATCGTAGGCAGTAAGACACAGGATACAGCTCGTGGTACAGCTCCTTTATTCAGTGATTCAGCTCAGCTCCAGATCTTAGTGATTCAGCTCCGATTTATTAAGGGGAAACCAGGATATTTATAGTGTGGAGGCAGTAGCAAAAGCCTTAGTTGATAGGTGCTTTTAGGATGCCCCATTTACATGTGGCGGTGGGCTTCTATCAGGCTGTCAGACAATGCCTGATTATCACACAGGAAAAACCTGGCAGTTCCTATGCCAGAGGTCATGTTTTTGGTAGGGCATCTGTGGCGGCCACTTCAAAGGTGAGCCAGGAAGAGAGTAGGAAGAGGAAGGCGCCCTGCTGAGAAAGGGAGTCTCTGCATAAGAACGCCTAGCCGGCCTGCGGCTATCCGGACATGGAGAGACTGCTACCTTAGACAGCAGGGGTCCCTAACATCCTAGTACAGGGGACAGTTGAGTGCAGTGGAAATATATTAAAAACAAGGGATTAGATGTCTTAGTGACTACATGGATAGATGTAAAAATGAGGCTGGGTGAAAAAGTAGCAAGTGGAATGATACACACACTAGCATATAAATCACTTAAAAAACAATGCCTAGACAATGAGAAGAAATTTTACAAAGGGACATCAAAATAGTAAGAAAAGTATTAAACACATTAAAAAAGTTTCCTTTGAGGAGGAGGGTATGGGCAGCCACATACAGGAGAAAAGTCTGTAAATCAATAAGGCAACAAACGAGGGTAAACTGATAGTGATGGACTATACCCTCAAACTATGAGCCATGATAAAATCCTTCCTTTAAAAAAAAGTGGAGGGGGGACTAGAGTCATGTCTCAGTGGTTATTTGCACTGGCTGCTCTTGCAGAGGACCGAGGTTCAGTTCCCAGCACCCACATAGTGGCTAATGACCATCTATGACTCCAGTTCCAAGGGAATCTGACACCCTCTTCTGACTTCCACAGGCATTGCATGGTATGGGTGTATGAACATACATGCAGGCAATACACATAAAATAAAAATAAAATATTAAAAATAAGAAAGAGGGGAAACTGTTATATTATGGAGAGAACTAGGTTCAATCTTAGGTATACTGATATTTGTTTGCGATAGTATTTATGACTCTTGGAGTTCCAGTTCCCACCTCTGTAAAATAAGGTGGTTGTAGTTAATTCATTTTTTGGCCACTAGAATGAAATAAGATTGTGTGAGTGCCTTGCAGAGTGCGCAGTAGAGGGAACAGTCTTAATAAATGTTTAGCTACTTTCTTCCCCTGGGACTCCTCAATCACTTAACTGTTGCGGCTAGAGGGGAAGAATTTGCTTTATAGGATGTGTATGCTGTGGCCCACTGCTGTGAGGCAGCCCATGGAAACTGTGCTTCCTTATCACATGTCTTAAATGCTTTTCTCCTTCTCTCAATGCAGGGCTTGCCACCCAAGCAATGGAAGGCTGACGTTACCCACCTGAGCTGCCCGGAGCCTGCCTTGTTTGCTTTCTCATCTCCAGTTCCTCCGGCCCTGAGTGGGAGATCTTTGCGAGAGATGTGGATCCCCAGCTTCCAGCAATCCAAGAAAGAAGCCCAGGCACTAAGGTGGCTGGTTGATAGGAATCAAAACTTTTCATCTCAAGAGTTTTGGGCCCTAGTATTCAAGGCCTAATTTTAAAAAGCACCAGAGTGACAGAATGAGGTTAATTTTTTGGTTGCCTTGATAGTTGAATGTAATAAGTATTCCATTAAATATCCTTCAGGGTAAGAGCTAATTACTGTTCTCACAATGAACCCTGTCCAATAATAGGTGTGAATTATTCCTAGGAGCTCCCTCTATGTATTTGTACTAAAAACATAGACTTTTTTATGGACATCGGTTGTCTTCAGTTTCCATACTTGGACCCATGTACTTGCTGCCTTCTGTGGAAATTCACCTAATGCCGAGTGTTTTCCTGCTCTGGATCTGGCTGGGGGTTTGTCGTACTCACTTCCTTGTGAGCAGCTCATTTGGCAAACCCAGTGTCTTGATGCTGAGAATGAATGAAATGTGTTAGAACTTGGCAATGCGTGATTCCACCTGTTGTTTTCCAGGGATGTCAGACGTCTCTGCTCTCGGCATTGCAGGTCAGGACACATGATGTCTCCCTTCCGCTCTACCCCTTCAGCTGCCCCCCAGCCTATTTTATATTCACCTGGCCTATGCCTCCTTCCAGCTCCCTCCAAAGGGGAATGCCTTAACTCCTCCTTCTGTTTCTATCAGTAAGATGTTAGTAACTGTTCCTTACACTACGGAGGAGGGGAAGACTTGTGAGATTGAGTGAGCAATCACATGTTTTAATCAAGGTGAGAGACACGAATGCCCTGGGGTAGTCCTTTGGGTTGAAGGTAATTGTCTTTAGAATCCTACACAGCCTGTTGTGCTGGGGCGTCACACAGCTGATGAGCATTTCCTGGTTTCCTATCCTGTCAGAGAATTCAGCAGTCTTGTCTGGTGTGTCTACCGTAGTTCCCTAAAAGCAAAGGGAAACAACACTGGCTTCCAGACCCTGATATGGTGAGGAGGCGTCTGGTTACACATGAAGACTGCTGCTACCAGAAGTGTTGGCCTCTATATTCCTTTTTTTTTTTTGAGACAGGGTCTCCCTGTAGCCCAGCTGGCCTGGAACTCACTATGTAGACCAGGCTGGCCTCCAACTCACAGAGATCCACCTGCCTCTATATCCCAAGTGCTGGGACTAAGGGTGTGTGCCACCACGCCCCGCGGCCTCTATATTCTTTATGTGGAAAGACATAAGCATTTACTCTCCAACTGTGGCATCCACCACGGAAGAAATGAGAGCTAAACTGGCACATTCCTCTTGAGCGAGGCACAGCCACCTTGCTGTGGGGGAAGGTATCTCTGGAAAGGCTCTTCCTAACCCCAGGTCTGCCGTTAACTCCAATCTTGGACAAATCTACCCCATCTACGCTTGAGGTTTGGCTGGCTGGATCTTGTGCAGGTAACCCCAGCTGCTGTGAGTTCATGAGTGGGACAGCTGTGTCATATCCACAAGCTAGTGCTGCACAGCACTCTCCCCATCCTCCAGCTCTTGCATCCTTTCTGTCTCCTCTACTGTAATGTTCCCTAAGCCTTGTCTGGGCGTGGTTGATACAGATGTCCCATTTAGGGCCGAGCACTCGATTTCTCATTCTCAGCACTTTGTCCAGTTGTGTACCTCTCCATTAACTGCTGCCCACTGCAGAAAGATCCTTCTCTGATCAAGGCTGGAGGCCGCCTAGGTCTGTGGGTATAAACAATGCTTCGACGGCACTTTGACAGCACATTTCATGCAGTCGTGTTCCATCACAGTTATTTTTGAAGAGTTTCAAAAGTTTAGACAAAAGTTTAAAACACATCTAAAATTTTATCTGAAATAAAATCTTTGATTATGTAATGCTCCCCAAAGCTGTGAAAGATAGAGAAGATGGTGTTCGATGGGATTAAAAATGGAGTACCTTTCAGTGAAAATAAATGAGGGGTTTATGGGACCCTGAATCCACAGATTTGAGACTTACATGCTTCGAGACTTTCTTTCTTACTTAGCAGATACTTCTTCTGTCGCTGATTTTAATAAGATGCCGCTTGTCTCTGACAAATCACTGTTACAGGGTGAAAAGTGTGTCCTGCTCTGCAGTGGAGCCTTCTGAATGCCTTAGTGCTCTGTGTGGTAGTCCTCGCATGCCACACTCCCCTTCGCCTCCCTGTCTCCGCGAAGCCCAACTAATAGAGTGCATTGCCTTCCCGGGTCATTAGAAGGAACAGAATGCAGCAATCGGTTTAGTGACTCACTTGGATTGTTCACAAGGGCACAGTTTCAAAGTAGTACGAGAAGTCAGACAGAAAACTTATCAAAATTTTGCAGAATGATTATAAAGCTAGCCAGTAGTTTCTACTTCTGACCCCAAAGATGGAGCTAACTTTGCCCTTTCGTTGTATAGCAAGTATAATTTTCAAAACCTAAATGTGACTGGCTTATTTGATCCTACTTTCTAGTGACTAGAATATCAGTTGGGGTCATTGTAGCATGTTAGTTCTTGCTCAGAGGTAAGCCCAAACATGAGTATCATGTTTTTTCTAGTCACACATGTCTATTGCACATAGCAAAGCTAGGTCAGTTCTGTAGAACATGGTGAATCCAAGCACAGTATAAACATCACCTTTAGGAGCCTGGTATGATAGTATATGTTTTAAAAACCCATCAGGACACAATTCCTGCTAATGATGGCCCGGTAGTCCTTCCAGCCTATCCTTTACCAGTTCCAAAAGGGTTATTTTTAGGTACTTGTACAGCGGCACCCCAATCTCGATGCTAAGTTCTGTCTTAGTCTCTCTGGGTTATTATATGGAATAGCACAGACTTGGTGATTTAGAAACAACAAAAATTTACTTCTTGCATTTCTGGAGGCTGAGAAATCTAAGCTCAAGGTGCTGGCCGATGTGGTGTCTCATGAAGGACTGCTTGGTTCGTAGATAGCTGTTTTCTTGCTGTGGACTCACATGGGTGAGCGAGCTCTCTGAAGTTTCTTTTATAACAGCCCTCTGTTACAGGATCCCTTTTAGAATCCTGCCCGGGAGGATTCCACCCTCATGCCCTACTCACTCCCCCAAAGGCCCACTCTCTAATATTTCAGATTAACATGTCAGCGTATTCCGTCTGTAGCTCCAGCTTAGAGTAGGTTTTCAGAAAAGCATGTTGATTGCCACAGAATATGCGCCCAGCTCTCCATGAGTAACAGCTGTCGTTCTTGTAATCTTCAGAGCATACAGTGTGGAAGTTCATGCATCAAGAATAATGGTGATCAGTTTATGTTTCTGAAAACTGAAGTTTTGAATATTTTGTAAAATTTCCTCACTGTTCTTTAATTTTTGTTTTTATTTTTGTTCTTATTAGTGAATACCTTATACAATTTTATAATTATATTATCAATATATATCTTATGTTATTCTGATTAGAGAAAATGCTGGAAAAAGCCGGAGAATATAGAATTGTGACCTATGACTGTGAAGTAAGAAAAGTCTAGTCTGAGCTGACTCTGCAATGTATTTTAACTAGGATCTTGCTCAAGTTACTTGGCTTTCCTACCTATTCTTCCTTCCGCTTACAGTAGTAGCCGACCTCTCCAGGACGTTTGTGATTAAGTAAGCAAATGTTCATACTCAGTTCCACTAATGCAGGGTGTCGTGGTCATGGCTGTCTGTAACCATAGCTCCTTTATTGTGAGGACCATGATTGAGCTTTCTTGAGAAAGGGGGACTTGATTAGTGATAGCCTCAAGGGTCACCCTTTGTTCTTGTTTAGTTACTTGATAAGGATTTATTGAATATTATGAAGTAGGCATTATGTCAGGCACTGTAACCTGTGTAAGATGTGGGAGAAAGGGTGTGGTGGGTTCTGGGGAGGGCTTTGTGGTTTTGTTACTATTAAAGGGATTAGGGGCTGGAGAGATGGCTCAGTGGTTAAGAGCACTCTCTGCTCTTGTAGAGGACCTGAATTTGGTTCCCAGCATCCAGGCTGGGCAGCTTACAACTGTCTGTAACTCCAGCTCCAGGGGATTTGACACTTGCCTTCTGCCTCTGAGGATCTCTCTCTCTCTCTCTCTCTCTCTCTCTCTCTCTCTCTCTCTCTCCACACACACACACACACACACACACACACATACACAAAGACACACAAACTAAAACAAATATTTAAAAAATACACAGGGACTGAGGAATGCGCAGAGTATTCTTTGACTCTCCCTTACCTCATGGGGTTTCTGATAGAATTTTGCACACAGCTACCCATAGCATAATGACCCTAAAACTGTCTCAGGATAGTAGTTGTGCAAACCCACATAAACCTATCTGCTGATCTCTGATTTAAGAGAACAATTCAGACTTGAAGCCCAAAGAGGATCTCCTTCTGCCTTTCCATTGTTCGATCCTGTGTCTCAGGATCAGTCCACTTATGTACCTGATCTAAGTAAGAAAACAGAAAAATGGCTACGTGTGTGGATCTGAACCCTGCTTATTCATTTACAGAAGAGCAGTAAGGAGAAAGAAAAGAGAAACCCACTCAGCCTTCTCCAAGTGGACCTGCCCTCTCTTGCTCCCTACGTGATCTGGATATGAGACCGTAGGGCATACACGGCACACAGGAGTGGGCTTTTATGCCCTGCTTATAACTATGGCCCCATTGCTTTCCCAGGCTCACCCACTAAATTAGTAGCCCTTGGGGGCTGAAGGTAGGGCTTACTGAGGAGATCGGCAAGTGACAGTGGGGTGGGTGGAACAGAGGTGGCTCACCAGCGAGGTGGCTTTCTCCTTTCAAGACACTGAGCTTAATAGCCAAGCTGATGACGAGTCACAGGTGAGGCCATACCTGACCAGTGCTGACCAAGAGACTTTTCATCTGTCATCTGGCTTCTTTCCTGTGTCCTCTTGTTCCAGTATACCTCCCTGGATTGGTGGCATGGAAATTATCTGAATTTTCTGCAGTGAGTCAGGACTGAATATTGATGAATGCCTCTGAGGGCATTTGAGCATTAGGCCAAAATTTGTTCTCTGTGTTACTTAACATGCAAAATGAGAATTACATCATCAAGTCTAGATCACCATAGGGAATTATACAACCAACCCATGGAAACCATTATGAATATTCAAAATTTTACTATTGTGGACTTAATTTTAAAAATGACTGAGCAGATTGAGAGACTGAAAGACCATCACTGTAGGGTGTGTGTGTGTGTGTGCTGTATTTTGAGGCAGGGTGTTACTCCAGAAGCCTTTGAAATGAACTCAAGTTGTTTTTCAGATACACGGAGTAAACTGTTTTGATGAGTCTACTCCAGAAAGGGAAGAAAGCCAGTTTCATGGAAGAATGTTCTTGATAAAGCAATAAAATGATTAATTTTATTATATCACAACTTTAGACTATGTCTCTTTTCATTCTGTGTGACAAAATGGGAATGTGTATAAAAACACTGCTTCTGAGACAGGGGAGGTGGTTCATTCGGTAAGGTGGTTATTCATTCAGTAAAGCGCTTGCTGCAGAAGCCTGAGAACCTGAGTTCAGATCCCCAGCACCCACGTAAAAATACCTGGCACGGTGGTGCAGGCGTCTAATCCCAGCAATGAGAGGCAGAGACAGGAAGATCTCTGGGGGCTTGCTGCCAGTCAGTCTAGCTCATCAGTGAGCTCCAGGACCAGTGAGAGACCCTGTCTCAAAAACAAATAAGGTAGGGAGTGACTGATGTCAGGGAAGGCACCTGACATCAACCTCTGGTCTGCATATGCATGTGGATGCACATGCACACACATCTGCATGCATGTGCTGGGGTGCACGCACACGCATACATACACACGCATACACACACACATGCACACACGCATGCCTGCAGACACGCACACGCACACAGAAAGTCTAGGGGACCACTTGTGCTGCCGGTGTGGCAGGAGTTGGCAGGAAGCCCTGCGTGGGGGCCTGAGCTGAGCAAGCAGGCACTCCAAGAACCACCAGTTTCACTCAAAAAGAGCGCCTGACAAATTACACACGCGCAGTCTTGGGCTTTTGTCCAGTAGTCTCTTGAAAACAAAGTGAAGTGAGTCTTTCATTTTAAAAGACTTAGAGAATTTGTTGTCCGTGATTTAAAAATACCCTCAGATTTCAAGTGAGAATTAAATTTTGGGAAACTATTATCTGCTGCATCGAGCCTGGTGACTTCCCAGCAGACACTCCTGAGGTCATTGGTAGGACTAGTAACACATGTTGTTTCTGACATTGACTAACAGCAAAGATCATGGCATGTAGATGTATTCGTCTGCTTTTATAATTCTAAGGAGAGTAGAAAAAATGTTTATGCTAGAGAAAGAACAGTTTTGTGTTTTTACTAAACACTACAAAATAACAAAAACCCAATATTGATCATTTAGAAATGGAAGTAAGAGAAGTGCTGATCGGCACTTATCAATGAAGAACAGGAGCCGTCTGGATTATTATTATTAATTTATGTTTTTCTGGAAATAAGAAAAACATAAATTAAGGAATAATATTGTATATGATAATATATACAATAAAATATTGTACACATTAACGCAACCAGGAAAATAATTGTTTGGGATCAAACAACCTAGAATTTATTAATGTTTTAAAATTTTTATTGAATATTTGCACTCTGCCAGGAATTATTCTGGGATACAACAGTGAGTCGAATGGATGAGATCCATGTTACCGTGCAGCTGTTAATTCTAGTAGGGAATGAAAACTAAAATGCTTCAGGAGAACATACAACATTCGAGGAAGTTTTTATGTCTTGTTGTAAGAGCCCTGTGAGGTGGAATTTACTTCCAGGTCCCTGCCACTCCATCTGAAATGTGGTATAAGTGGACTATATTTATAATGTATATTAAAAGGCTGTATTAATGACAAGATATGTTCAGAGTACTAAAAGTTTCAATCTGTAGTTGACAAGTGTAGAAGCAAATGCTTTGTGTTTTTTACTTGTTACTCCGTTTACTCTTGTTG